AGCATGACAAGAAAACATCAAGCATCGAGCATGCAATCCCCTCCCCCACAAACTTCAAGCCTGCTGGGGGTTGAAGGAAAGGCTCGCATTCGCATCCCCGCTGTAACTAGGCACCACTGGAGTAAGCAGGCACCACTGGAGTTCATGGTCGGATAGAACGATGAAGTACAGCCTTCTACTCCCCCCGAATTCATGAGCCAACATCTGCCTCAAGTCGGTGCGTTGAAAAGAAACTAGGATTTCAGGCCAGGATGCGCCTTAAGGTTGATTGAGTTTGCCCGAGAAGGATCGAGAGGAAGTGTCCTCCGGGTCCTGTTTAAAGAATTCACACCCGAGGTAAAGAGAAGACATTATAAATTTCACTGGACAGCTCATAAGCATCCCCCGGCAAAAGGGTCACCATTTTGCGCCCTCTCACTGCAAGGCTCGCCTGTGCTCAGCCACGGGAGGCGTCCCATGTGGCCCCCTACCGACGTTGTTCTGTCTTTCTCTCTCCATCCTTTTCTGCTTTTGCGAGATGTTGGCACTGTGCAAAAAAGCATCAGCTAAACAGATCGGCTGGTTTATCCCGTTTATCCCCAAACACTGTCCGAAGAAGGACTATCCCCAATCTTTGGTGCACTCCCAGCCACCTTTGCCAGCAGCCCGGCTGGGCGGAAGCCATGTGGAGGTGCCACACAACCGTCGCAAGCAAAGTCATCGAGCAAGGCCCAGGGGCAGCTCTGCATGACCTGCAGCAAAGGTTACCAACAATTTGTTTGTGCTTCGTCCTGCATAAAGACTATCTTGCGACGGCACAGTGCAACAGGCAAAACTCAAAAAACAGAAAGCTTCATAGTTTGAAATGGAGGTGACTTGACGTGCATGACGCGCAGCTCGAGGGGCTTTCGACACGCCGGCTCGTTGGTCAGTCCCTCTTGCAGCAAGTTCGTAAGGCATACGCCGTCGTTCTTCCACATCTCTGGAATTCCAAAATCATGCAGCAATCAGTTTCCAAACTGTGTTTGCAGCTGAGGGAATGAATCGGTGGCTGGACCATTTCTGTTTCGGCACGAGTACTTGTACGGCAACCTGTCTTGTGCAACCTGCACATCCGAAGCCCGTTGTCAGAAACCTGTTTGTAGATTGCATGGGGGAGAACAACGCAAAGCCGACAACAGTTTTTGGGAGTCGATGAAGTGCGAGCCAAACAAGCATAACGGTCTCCGGACGCCGCTCCGAAGCCAGCACCAAAAAGCTCAATTGACGCACGCCCGTCTCCAAAAGCAAGACGTTTCTATCCACAGCCTACGGGATTGCCCCTAGCCCCTGACAAGTTTTAAGTACGAGTACCTTCATCAACACGGAAGAACATAATGCCAGCATTTATGGTTAGCAATTCCGTCCTGAGCACTTCACTTGCCCTTGGGTTCTGGAGGATCCACCATGCCGAGATCGGCCACACTAGCCGTCACTAGCCTGCGTCCAATGCAAACCAAAGCCTTATAGAAGGACTGTGAAGAGCCGCCTGTGTGCCACAGAGGATTCCAAGCGAATGTCAACTGTCAAATCTGGGCCACTGGCCGCAGCAGCTTCGGCAGCATTCCCGAGCTGCGCCAGGAGCAACGACGGGCCCCGATGTGGTGATGCAGCTGCAGCAGCCGCTGCAAGCAAAAAACGAGCAAGTGCTGCTGGGACGCATCCTTAACAGTCACGATCCCGCAAACGAAGACGCTGAGGACTTCACATGCTATTTCAGATCCGCTGGAAGCTAAGACGAATCCTTGCTGTTGGTGAAGTTGGTCGGACAGAGCTACACATGAGTGACATATCTCGGAAACATCTGAAGATGCAGCTGACAGCCACGATGCCCCTCTTGCCCTTTCACGAAGCGGCAAATTGGTTGCCCGCTAGTCGTGTCTGTTTCAACCAAGGAGCCTCCTTCAGGCAGATGAAGATGATAGCAGCTCTTCGGCGCATGCTGCCAAACGTGGAGAAGGGTCCTGCAGGACTTGCGAGGGCAGTGGCTTTTGATCATGCAATCGATGAGCAAGCACTCTTCATTTTACTGCAAAAGTTCGAGCTGTCCTCTTAGTCGATGGAGGTGGCAGGCGTATCTGGCTCAGCGCCCGCTGCCGGCGTAGCCCTGCCGAAATCGTGGAGTAAGCACACGAAGAGGCCGACTCCATGCACCACTGCCATCAGATATAATATGTTATATTCCCATGATGCACCATGTCAGGGCGATGATGCGACCATGTAACAACGAGAATCAACAAGGCTGCCATTTGGCGGACTGTTCAACCCGGCTCTGACTCCATCTAGCAGGGCCAAAGCTTGGCTCAGTCTCGCAATTCCAGTGTGTTCAAGCGAATGCTCCAACGCCACGCAGAGACGTTGCTAAAACACCGGTATACATGGACCTCTTAGAACGCCCGGCTCCAACAAACTGACTGTGTCCGTGCTTCCACCTCTGGTTTCAGGTACTGTCGCCGCATCAATTCCATCGCCCTTGCTGTGCGCACCCGCGAATTCGAAGTTTGAAGTCCGTTTTCAAGCTCTGCCAGCAGTCCTTCCGAACCCTCCGGATTGACATGTCGAGACTGCCGGAGAGGCCTGGCTTTTGGAGATCCTTCACAGGATGCAGCGGGCATCAGCGGGCTGTCACTCTTCCGATGCGGCGCGGTCCTTCATGAGCCTGTCTTGTTCACGGACATTGAACAGAGGAGGCACTTCATCATGCCTGCAGCGCGGGCGAAGGCACGAGGGGATTCATTGGCTTCTCACCCACCTGTCTCCGATGTCCTGGCTGCAGACGCAGCGACCTTTGTTGGAAATGTCTGTCGCCTCCTGCCACACATTCTGTACTACTCTCTGAAGCTATTGGGAATCTGCCCTGCCTTTTCTGGTTGGGCTGGGTTCTGACTGCTCGAGTCCAATGCTCTTTAGCACGCACATGGCAGTGGTGCGGCATACGTCAGGCTCTGGCTGTCATCTGTCCCACCTGCTGAGCTGCAGGATTTCGCCGTCCTGCACTGAGCCTGCCGGCAGCTTGCCGTCCAACAGCTTCCATCGCCTTATTGCACATGTTTGCAACTGCATCCCATGCAAAACATTGCAGACAAAGAAAGGTCTGAAGCAACCTACTGCCGCCCAGTGACAGCTCGCTCGGCTGCAGCGCGCGTGGGAAGGGCGAAGGCAGGCCCATGTGGCGCGCCAGTGCCCGATGTGTGACCTGGGCCATTCAAAACCGTGCCACAGGCGCTGCAGCATGCGTCTCGGGATGTGAGTTATAGTAGCAGCAAACCTTGCAGTTAGCAGTGACGCACAAGTGCCATCGAGAAGCTAAGCGCAGGAGTGCCGCGTCACTGGTGCAGCACAGCGGAAGGCAAAGCCAAAGCCGAGCTGTGATGTTTGCAGACAGGCTGTGGCCTGTCGGCTTGGGACGGGAGTCATTCACTTGTCTTGATCTCGTCATTGCATGGGGCGCTGTGCCTGCAACACGAGATGCTTCCTCAAGTACTCGCTGCAGATACCTAGGCAGCGAGGCCATTCATGAAAAACCAGCACGGGTATTGTGTCAGCATGCGGATTCAATCTGTTGTCTCCAATTTACAAAGAAGTCTATGTCCTTCTGCAAATGTCGAAAGTAAACACGACTTGCAACAGCCGAAGCCAACTAGCGAACTCAAACCCAGTCAATCCAATGCGCGCATTCTTTCGCGGGAGGTGAAGTTCTAGAGTCGCAAAGTCCTCGGTTCGCAGGAAGCGGCACCGTCAGCATCCATCGGCAGCATGGAACGGAATGAACGTGTAGTCACAACTATATAATCAAAACAACAGAAAACCGAAACTACAATTAGCATGGGCTGGTAATGAGAGTGGCCAGGTTCGCCGACCGGCAAAGACGCTGAGGGTCCTGCATGTCAGGCCACATCTAGACCGTGCTACGAGTAGCATGACCTGCCGAAGTCCTTGCTGAACCAAGGGCTGAGCCCCGCCAGAAGCTTGTCATGCCTGAGCCCGTCGGACTCTTAGAGGCCTTGTGCAGAGAAGCCGAAGCTGTGAGTCTCTGGGGCCCACGGCCTCGCCAGCATCTGCAAGCATTCCAACTCACTGGAAGTGAGAACAGCAGCTAGCCTGAGTTCATGTCTCTTCTTGAAATCTGCAAGATGGACTAGGGCGACTAGGGCCTAAGGGCCGTGGATGTCTCTCATGGCAAGACCGACCAAGAATGCACGTTACTCAATGAGCTGCGCAGCACCAAAACCAGAGCGCTCAGCCGCGACGCCATCATCTTGGCCATGGCGGCATGGCGACGAAAAACAGCACATCTCTGAGCACAATGCTTAGCCTTACTGCACTTGCTTTGTAAGTGTGGGTGCTCGGGAGAAACTGCGGTTGGCATCCAGCTACGCCGACAGGACCCGAAACACAAATGACCCATGCCTCCTGCACATACGGCAGTCAAGAGCTGTGGGGACTTTGGTTCTTTTCGCGCTTGTTGGCCTGGAGCTCGGCAAGACAACGCTTGGGCCGCTTTGCGGCCAACAGGCTCCAATGGGGTCCGAGGGAAGTGCAAGCTCCTTGGCCGAGCTGAAACCTCCCCGCACCAGATGCTGCACGTCGGGCAACTGACGTGCTGAATTCCCTCGCCTGCCAGCTTGAAATCGTCCTGAGGCTACTTCTTGGCATGACGACTTGAAGCTGGGCATGTGTACGTATCAGTGACATCCCAGGCAAGTGCTCCAACTTAGCTACGGTGATCAAGGTGCCGCAAGGCTTTTTCTGAAGCCGGGTTAGTGTAGATATCTTGAGAATTTGTCCTAAATCAAAAAGGCGTGGCGAGGTGGCAAGAGGCCGGCAAAGACGCTGCTGCAAATGCAGAACAGTACTTGGCCCCTTCTCTTGTAGCTGTGGCCGTCATGGCATGACGGTGCTGCCCAATAGAAGCTGCAGGCTGAGTGAGACGAGATCGCTATTCGCGAGACCTGCAGAACTTCACAGGGTCGAAGGCAAGTGGACAGCGGGGTGGGGGGGGGTTCATTCAATGTCCATGCAAACTTGCAAAGCTGTTAGCCAGCAATCCTTTTTGTCGGACTTTCCAGGCCGAGCAGGAACAAGCACCATCGAAAGAGAAAAGCATAAGACAAGCAGCCCCACGATACCAACAGCACGGACCGATACTAACAGCAACAAGCAAATGTGCCTGATACCAGGCTTCCAGCATGACCCCCATGGATCCAAAGCCCTAGAACCCCTAAGAGTTTTGGCTTCCGAGGACAAACTGATATACTCGCATGTGCCACCGCAATCGCCATGGCAGTTGCATGCAACATCGAAGCCAGGAGAAGCGCGTCTGTGTGCTTGGATTTGTTGACATAAGCCGGAAGAGGGAAAGGCAATAGTAGAAACGAAACAGCAAGCAAACGGACACACAGCTGGAGCAGAAACAAAACAAACCAAGCACGGGCTATGGACCCGGGCCGACCCAGCCTCTCAAGAGCTAGTATCTCCGAAGGGTCGGCCTAGTCATCGTCATCGTCCATGGCCATGCTGGAAGATGCAGCGCTGCTCCCTAAGATGTGCGATACAGTCCAGGTGTGCGAGGGGCTTCTAACCGGGATCTTCTGCCATGCTTCCGCCGCCCAGGCTGCTTGCTCCGGCGCCGCGGCCTGATGCAGGTGTAGTGTCACTGCAGCTTGGGCAGAGAGAACATGAGAGAACTAGCAGCTAGCATATTGCCTCACATATTGCCTGTGCTGCTGCTCTGCTCACGACGAAGTCGACGACCAAGAATAAGCTGAGGATCATGTTTTCCTAGAGTGCCTCTTGGTCCTTGGCAGCACATTCCTAGTTCTAAATGTCACGATGAAGTGGATCGCAAGTGGTAGTGGGAGCAGCAGAAGTAGTGTGATGCCTGCTGCTGTCTTCAGCAAGCACTACGATCACCCGTGATGCAGCATTGAGCGACTGTTTCTGTCAGTCTTGGATTTCCTGCTGCACTGTCATTCACCATTGTCTTGTAGTGTGTCACGTCCGTCAGAAAAAAAGCTATCAATATGAGCACCGTGCAACTCCGACGTCTAATTCCCGGCATCCACTGTCGTTACCCGCTGCTGCCACATGCTTGGGACATGCCTTCAATTTCAGGCAAGTTACGCCAGTTACGCGAGGGGTTATAGCCCCGTGTTCCCTCCACGAGTAGCACAGCCCAAAGATAAACAGCATAGCTTGCATGCTTAATTGAAATCATCTGCACCTGGAAGTGTGCATTCCAAGAGCTTACCACACGGACTCTCCGCCTCGTTTTTTGCCCTGGGACTTGACCTCGGGAATTCAGCACAGAGAAACGGACTCTCCTGGCAACCGGATGCTATCTCCACTCCTCAGTTTCGGAAGCACCATCCTGTCAGCATCTACTGTCCATAAACATTGCATCCAAGTCTCGATTTTGGAGAGAGTCTTTTCCTTGGCTGTGGTTGCGGCCCCTCAAAACCACAAGCAGTGGAGGTCTTTCCGGCCTTGCCGTTTGCATCACGAATTTTTTGCGCTTGCATTCACATGGCGGGACCCTGGTCCAATTTAGGTGATTTCGGTTTGGGCTTAGGACTCGCAGCACCTGTAAACCAAGACTTGGACATGTCATAACAACTGCCCGAAGCTGTCACGTACAGGCTAGAGCTCGGGCATGTTGTGACGACATTGAGGACAACACGACAGGACAAACATAGGCCAACTCTCCCAGCATGCAGCCAATCCTCTCTTACGTGTGGACGACTCGATGAACGAGCGGAAAGCTGCAAAAGCATAACTACAACTCTTTCTACGTGTTGTCATGGCCGAAAGCCCCATGCCCTGCGAAGGTCATCTCAAAGGCCGAGCGGCTAATTTCGCCAGCCGGTCTTCGGCTTCCTGACGTTTTGATGGCGGTTTCTTCCGGTCTAGTGGATGCCGTATGGCAGAAACTTTGACACGCTGTTCACAAGAAATGGCACGGGTGAAAAGATCTGTCCTCCACCACCTCCCGTGGCCACGGTGCTTGGGGGTCTGTGCTGCCGCCGTAGCGCTTGATGGTGTCCTTCCCAGTCGAGGCTGATGAGCCTCGATTATGATTCGTACAGCAGAAGCTCCTCGAAGACAGGATGGGCGCTTGCCGGCTCCAGGACTTGTATGCCTCCGGCCAGGCCAACCTTTCGCGAGCCATCTGCAGGCGCGTCTGTATCAGCATATCTTTCCCAGGGCGTGGTGCTAGAGAAACTCAGCAACAAACCTAGAGGACATTATCTCACTCGGACGCGTCTGGCCGAGTGACATCTCCTTCGTTGAACTCCAAGGGTGTGTCCTTGGAGCGAGGCATATTTCGGTGTGCAACTTGCCTGCAAACGAGCTGTGCCTGTGAGCAAGGAGCTACCCATGTATGCATGCTACGCTAGCTTGACATGTGAGAGCAAAAGCTTCCAGTCTTCCAGTGCTGCTCAGTCTCCATCGCCAAGCCATTCAGGAAAGCTGACCATCGCTTCCTGGGCTTCGATAATCAAAACTCACTCAGCAAAGCTCTAGCCAAACTCTGCGTGCTAGTTCTTGCGTCAGCCATGAGATGAAAAAGAAGTCTGAGAAGGTCGTCGAGCTGCCGTGACACGGAGTGCAAAGTACTCGCTGTGATGGCGGCCCGGTTCAAGCGAGCATAGCCCTGGCAGGACTTGCAAGAAAACAGGTCATGAGGTCGCCTGAGGTACTGTCAGATCTGTCAGGACGAACCTTTCTCCCGTGCACGAGGCTTTTGTGACCCTGTGGCCAGATATGATCGGCAATCCCTAGTGACCTAGTGGCACGATGGGGCAACAAAGGCAGTTTCGGCGCTCACAAGGTTAAGATACATCGAGTCCTGCATGGAAGGAGCCATTCCAGCGAACTGTGCCTTTTTCTTGTGCCTCTGGTGTAATGTCACTACACAACAGCTGCTCCGACTCCGATGTTGCACTTGCATCATGTCAACTTCAGAACTGCTTCCTTACACGCCTGCATGTTCGAGAAGGCATCGTGATAGGATTGCGTCAGCTGCGCGATCAGCAGGTTCCTTACACGGCAGCACCGCGATCAGCATGACCCAAAGGCTTCCGATGGACGTGCGAGGCAAGACAATCGTCACAATTGCCATGCGTGCAACACCAACAAGCACGTCTGGCGCCCCTGTCAAACATGCTCGCAGAGGCAATCATCAGATTTCATCAAGGCGCATCAACAAGATGGAGACCACGAACACAAACACCACAACAGGCACAAAGACAATCACAGAGCTCGCTGCAATCTCGAGGTAATTCTCCTGATGGGCAGGCACAGCCTTACAGCTTGACTCTGCCGCCATGCGGATGCGGATCACTCCTCTGCGAGTGCGATCTTGCTAAATCTAAGTACACAGGAGTTGGCGGCCATGTGCACTTGAATTGTCCAGTCTCCTGTGGAAGCATCTCCAAGGCCGCTTGCAGGAGTACGTCAATCCACACATGAGCACCCTCGACAGACGGATACTCGAAGTAGAGCGCGCTGATGGATGTGGCAAACCTAGCAGTCTTGCTCACAAGCAGCATTTCGATCAGAATGCATGTAGCTGCTGATTGCAAGCAAGGTGCGCGACGATGAGTGACAACAGAGCACACACGAAGAGTGCAACTTCGGCAAGCATGCGTCCACAAACCAGAACCTAGCAAAGTGTGAAAGCTTCTGAGAGGTATCAAGACTCCCCAAAGGCAACTCACCAAGGGAACTCCAAGGGACATAGGCGGATATACGCATGGAGAAGATGGCCAGGTCCAGAAGCAATCCCCAGTAGATCATCATTGCCAAAAATGTAGCGATGGAGTAGGAAGCCATGAACTCCTCCGTGAGCTCTTTTAGCATGGATCATGTATTCAGACGGCAAAGCGAAGCTCGTTACAAGGTGACATCTGCAAGCGCCTTTTAGCCCAAGGCCCGGTGTTGTGAAGGGACTTAGCAAAGCTTGATCAAAGCATGTTTATGGGCTGTTTATAACTTTCTATACTATAGTGGCTTCATTGCACGTTGCTGATTGGTGTAATTTCCTTTGTTTCGGCTCGTGTTTTCGCACTTCTCGCTTCAGGCTGCGCTTGGAGGAGGGAGGGCGATGTTCACAAGAGGCTTTGATCTTCCTCGGCACCCGGGCACGTCGTCGTCAATGGGAAGCCATCCGGTCCAGTCTGGCCGAAGATCAAGCACAAGAATAAAGGCTCCTGCCATCCGAGATGACGGGCACCAGAGCTTGAAGACGTATGCGAGAGAGGAACATCAAGGGAGGCACAGATTCTTGCAGATAGTCCTGGGCACAGCTGACGATGAGTAACCACATAAGAATGAAGTTTGCCGCTTCTTGGGTGCTGCGAAGGTGTGCTGGGATCCTCAGTTGTCGTTCACAAGCCACTTCTCGTTCAAACAGCTTACTTGCCATGAGCATCTCCTAGAATCTTGCCACATTGAACTATGTCTTGAAAGGTTGGGCCGGGTCTCGGAATACAGAAAGACTTGTCGATGTTGCCATTTGCACAGTCAGAACATGTCTTCCGCAGCGAGCCTGCGAGGAAATGCGAAATCTACCGCGTAGCTTCGTCTGCAGGTGCGCCATGGATGCAAGAAGGTCATCTATCCATGTGAGCACTGCAAGAACTTTCTGCGACTGCTCTGACACCGTGACCATGCCATCCTCCCGTTTCACGTCTCCAACTTCAGTGAAGGCTCTGAAAATCAGCTTGCACATCATGCCCAAGTAGTTCAGGATGCGCAGAACGAACATGACAGTGAGCCTCGGATGGGAATTGAAGCGTCTAGGTGGCGGGCTTCCGACAGTTGCACTTGTAGTGTCAAGCGTGCGGTCAGCCCGTCCCCTGTCTCAAGAGAACTCCTCCCAACGACGCGTGTGCAGTGACACAAGCCCAGATGTCCAGCGGTTTCGACTCTCGATCACACCGGCGATTGCCGGCTCATTACTCTCGTCTCGCTGGCCAAGCAGCTCTTCGCGGGTCTGCTGCTGGCCCGTGTGATTGGGAATGATCGCCTGGGATGTGACGAAGATGACCAGCATCAGCAAGAAGTACCTGCACACGGGACAGACGCAATTTACAAAGCGGCTTTCCATGCCCCTGAGTTGATCGAAGATCCTTCGCTGTGGTCCTGCGCAGGGCTTGAGCCGAGGCACAACTTCGAGAGGACGAACTTGTAGCTTGCCAGTTTGTACCAGAGCAAGTCTGCAAACCTTGGACTTTTGAAAAAAACCATCTTGGAGTCAGGGGCTAATGAGGGCATCTGAAGCCTCTGAAGGCCGAGGCTTTGCCAAGCAGCATAACCACAGTGGGGTGGCGAATGATCTTGGGATCTCCGTGTGCCACCAGCCACTCCAAATTCATGCTCAAGTTGCCATCCAGGTCCTGGCGAAGATGCATCAGTCAATTGGGCGAAGGCTCCCTAACAGCCGTTATAACCGTTTTTCACAACCCCAGATTTTGGATCTGCTATTCCCAGCGAACCTCCCTCCGCTATCTTGAACTATCTCAGGAACTTCTGAACTCGGCCCCACACTCCGCATTGAGTGTAGACCCCAAGAAACCACCCCAAAACACGCTTCATGAGTCGCTGAGAAATGCCCAAAACCCCCAAAAAACTTGGAAATGCAGGGTTTCGAAACCCACACCAAGCAAGCAGCCTCAAGGAGCCGAATAGTGTGCCCTTGCCAGACTTTAAAGACTTCGAGCGATGTCAATTCAAAAAATGAGCGCCGACGTCCGCCAGTGGGAGAGCGATTTTACCAAATGCACGAGCGCCAGGATATCGGACGTTACGACGTCTCCGGTGTCCAGGCACACGGGGCCCGAGTGGGACAACCGCCACAGGCCTACCAGCTACCGGGCGTGCGCCCCCTGCGGTGACAGACTCTAAACCTTTTTGGCGAGGACCCTGGAGCTTTAGCACACTTTTTGGGGAACAAGCCGACATCCTTGCCAAATTGCAAGAATCCCATCAGCCCCCCTTTCCTATATAGATCGCCCATCCTGGATCAAGTGCTTGACATAGTAGTTGACCCGTCGGAAGCCTGTTCAGTTTGGAATTTAACATGGTCAGAAACGGTCGTGCCCACTACGTCAAGACCTTGTCCTGCAATGATGGAGATGTACAGCTTGCTAGACGGACCACAGCGGGGATAACGACAAGCATGATCCTCCAGACTGACATCATTTATTCCTACACTGCTAGATCAGGCCCGCCAAGCCTTCCTTTGTCTGACGAGATCGCCACACCAAGCCGTCAAGCAACCTCGAACATGAAAGAAAATTGGGCGCTCGAACTCGCACAAGGCAGGCAATCTTCAGGGCAAACGGTTTCGGAGACTCTATTCGGAGTGATCAACAGCGAGCTTTGAGTTTAGGAGGTGCCTCACTGCACTGCAGGGCTTCGCGCCCAAGGGACAAGTCGATTGGCCCTCGCATTTGCACGGTCGACGGGGACTTGGCAGAGCCCATACTCCCGCTTCGCGGCATTCCCCCAGGCGACCCGGTTTCACCCTTAGCTTTAGCGATTAGCTTAGCCCCCTTGGAATAAAGTCACGGAAGCTCTCGACAGCAGCCTTGGCACTTGGTGCTACATTACATGGATGACAGAACCATTGTAGCCATCAGGCAGGGCTCCAGCGGCCTCCTAAACAGAGCCCTCGAGGTTACTCGTCAGTTCGACTCGGTTCTAGGGTTCTCTGAGCATTGAGACAAAGCTGAGCGACCCTCCAACTGAACAAGGTTTTCCCCTCGAGCACCTCGGCCTCCGCCACGACCCTGGTCGTCCGGACCAGCTAACCCAGGTGTGCGATCCTGACAAGGTGCCTGATGCCATCACTCGTCCGGGCCATTGCCCCGGTGGCATCCCATGCGGTGCCGTTTGGCCGCTGCCTTCATAAAGCCTCTGTTTGACTGGGCCTCTCCTTTCCTGCCCCCAGGCAGCTCTGAAGATGGCTCTCGGCTTGTTCCAGGCCCTCACCAATGCTAACGCCACATGGTGGTGCAAAACCCGCTTTTGGCGTCAGCACATCGACTTGCATCCTTGGCGTTGCTATTCGCGGTTTGTGCAATGCAGCATCGGTGATGAACTTCCCTAGTCCCCACCTCGATGCCTTGCTTAAGAAGCATGCCAGCATTCTTCAGTTCGTTCTACTTCCTTATAACTTCCCAGCGTCCCTCTGCCACGACGAGCGGTTTGCAAACGCGACGCTTGTTCAACGCGACAGGATTGCTTACTTCCTTCGCCAGAGGGCCAGACACATGCTACTACAAGTTCCCGTGCACGCAATGACTGTGAAGGCATCGAGCATGCCGATCTTGAAGCTTCCAGTAATGATAAATACTGTACGTTCTGTATGGTTCTGTAACTCCTCGAACTCGAGCCAGTTGTCTGCTCTTGTGCTCTTCAGATCCGGTGCTATCAGCACGCCCACCCGCCGCAACAGGCCTGATGAGCATGACAATCTCTGCTCGCCACTGGTTTGGGCAGTGCAGCAGGTTTGATGGCATTCGTGCCCAGCTCCAGGCTGCTTCTTCGCGTGGATGATGGCGTGCTCAGCCCAGGTGCACCACCAAGTCCGGTTGGGTCACCACTCATGCGGCTCGGACCTCTGCGTAGCGCGTTGATCGCTTGATCGCGTGCGCCAAGCTTGGCATCGCCATCACTCTTGCGCAGGATCCCTGTGCTTGAGTGAGTGATCGGCTGTGTCTGCTGCGCCTCCCGCTCCTCGCGCTGGTGCGTCCACGCAGCCTTTCCTTTTGGCTTCGATGACTCTGACACCTTTCCTTGTTGTGCCTCCTTCACGGCCTCGGGTTTTCCTTTGGGGTGCTTGCTGGCGTGGTGCACGACTTTTTCTCCCGCATTGGTCGGTCTTCTCTCTTCAAGATGTTGCTTTCGGCTGCTTTGGTTTTGACCTGGGTTCTACCGGTCGTTGTCGATCGTGTTGGCGGCTCGAAATACCGGAAGGCGCTCTTCCGATGACGACTTGACGCAGTCAGAGCATCATTTTTCTTGCACGCACTGCTCTGTGAGGCAGTTCCTTCTCATGCAACACCTTCCAACCCCCGCTTCGGCGAGAGATGTTGCAGCTATAACAAAATAAGAACAAGTGCCTTCGGAGGCATGGAAAGATGCCGTGAAGCATCCCAAGTAGGAATATGCACATGCCCCAGTTCCTGCAATACTTTTATGCCGAATCTCCACGCCTAGAGACGTTGGCATCAGTGTCGGGGCTGTTGCGCACAAGCGCTGGACGGCTTCTGGATGACGGGTGAAGAGCGTGTCGTATCCGTAGTAGTAGGCTTCACCTCCGGCTTTGTCGTAAGCTGCGACACTGAATGCTTCGTGTGGTTTCGCAAGTGTGCGCGTTCGCTGCTGCTAGCGGTTCTACGGACCAGCTACACCCGCTTCTGAGAGCCCGGCGATCTGCCCTGATCGTCAACAAGTCTTCCAGCATAGCCACTGCACACACTGTTGCACCTCGAAGCAATACACGAGAAAGACTGTGGGATACTGTGGGATCTTCGAGCATTTGCCCCTAGGTTCGCCCTTCACTGCAGTTGTCAGCATAGCCCTTGAAACTCAAAAGTCCAAGGCAGCGAGTGGGAGGCAGAACGGGTGCCGCAAACAGCAGTCAAGGCTCCACTGTCGATAGCCCAGTAGAAAGGCGAGATCGACTGGGTGCCCACGGTGATACTGAGCAGCTCGCTTGCACGATGACCTTCGAGGGAGATAAGCCCAGTGTGTTGGCTGCCTGCTTGTGTTGAGTTTAAGTCAAGACCTACACATGGATGTTCACACCCATCGTCCATCACCTGGTGTGTTCATGTAGCATACGACCAACCACAGCAAGGGGTATACAACCGTGGAGCCTGACAACAGTGAGCGTCGACCTGCGTTCGACTCTTGAAGCTCCCATGCTCCCAGTGCTCAGCTGAAGTGCATGACGTTCGGCCAGTTGGTTACAGAAGTGTAAAACATGGCCACTTCCACAACCGCATTTTGTTGGCATTATGGCTCACTGCATGTGCTGTCCAAGCGTCCTCTTGAAGTTACTTCCATGGCCTGAGCAGCGGACAGTCTGCTGCGCATGCATGCCCGCACGCCGGTCAAGATTGGTGGCTGCGGATCTTTCATTTCACTCCATCTCGCCCCTTCCAAGACTCGCGGCGACAAGCAACAAACGAACAAGAAATGGGTGCAGCAAAGAACCAGACAGACAACGAGCGACCAAGCATGCCAACGAAAGAGGCCCAGCTCTCATGCACAAAGATAGACACAGAGAGAGACACAGACACAGACACAGACACAGACACTCACCCACCCACCCACGCAGACAGAGAGACAGACAAACAGACAGAGCCGGAGACAGAGACAGAGACAAAGACAGAGACAAACACAAGCACACAGAGACAGAATTCCTTCTGTTTGGTGCGACAGTTTGCTAGCTTCCTGGGCTTATGGTGTCCTACGTGATGACCCTACAGGCAAGACCTGACGATCGCCAGGAAAGTATACTAGTAGACCGATGTCGACTGTCACATTCGACTATTTCAATCCCCCAGGCAGCCTTGTCGAGCATGATTTTCTGATTGGTGTTGATGGCCTTCATCACCTCACTCAGTGTCTTTTCTTGCACAGGGCTGAGGGATGTTACTCGCAGCTCCAGCACACCCCTGCCATTGTTGCAAGAACTGGGACGACATCATGTTTATCATGGAAAGGCTGCCTAAGCCAGGGATCGTTGTCAACCACAAGGCCGCGCCTACGCACGAGAATGCCTGCATGAGGCCGGATGGAAAACAGTCCCCACCACAGGCTTCAACCCGCAGGGCCCATAAGCCGAGTCGGCAGCTACTTGCAAGCCAAGGCACCAGGGTCGAGCCCTCGGTAATGGCTCGAACCTGACGGAGGTCTCAACTTGCGAGACCCAACTTCCCCCAGCGAGGCACGCGATTTCGTGTCTGCTTCAGACAGCCAGCTGGCAACGTAAGGGCTTCGGACTGGGCCTCTGCTTGAAGGACTCATTAACTTGCACACAGCGGAGATCGTGTTTCCTCAAAACCCCCGAGAGCATCCGTAGAGACACAGCCTTCCCTCCGCCCCAAGTCTTGTCCGGCATTGAAGGACAGTACTACAAGCCCAGCCCGCAGTTCGAACTTCACTCCGATGGCTGCCAGGCAAGGTTCTTTCCAGCTGGTCGCAAGCTACACTAGATGCTCACTTGGCTTTGTGATTTCATGTTGCCCTGGAAACATTGGATTTCATGAAATGGGCTTTTCCGTGAGGCTCCCCGCAATCATGCTTGTGAGTAAGTAGAGGCCTCACAGCAGACCTTACAAGGGTGGGGGCCTAGGGCACAGGGCGGCCGGAACAGGGTTGGGGGTGGGGGCCAGGGCCGCGATGAAGGGCCAAGAAACCTCAACACCCTCACGAAGAACGTCACAGCACACCTCACAGCGAACCTTGCAAACAACCTCACAGGACTTCCTTGACCGCACAGCCTCGCTTACAGGAAACCTCGCAGGATTCTGACAGAAAGAACCTTCTAGCTGCTCTCCAATCATTCCAGGGATACTTAGCTTCCTTCTACACCGGTGCATGGCAGGCGCACCAGGATCTTGGCTATGAGCGCCAGGGACCAACGGAAAGCCTCGATCGCAAGCCTCAGCAGGTTGCCAGCTTAAGCGTATCGTACCTCGACTTCTGAGAAGCCTCTCCTCATGAGCGATTGAAAGGAGACTCCCAAGTTCCGGCAAACAGAGCTGGTCGTGAGCAATGCGAAAGTCCAAAGGTAGCGACACAAACGCAAACCCCTCAACGACAACACAGGCCGGATGCAAGGACAAGGCAGCCGACTGGAAACTTGCCACACGGACAAGTCCAAGAATTCTTGACTGTTGAATCGGAGCATCCAAAAGCCACGAGTGCCAATGCTGAGATGCTGCCGAAGCACTCGTTGGTCGTAAGCTCTTGTAGTAGCCCAACTGCTGCTGAAACGAAAGGAGGGAACCTTGACATCAGGAGCTCCGAAGAATATTGAATTGGATTCTTACACCCCTCGTACCCCCTTGCTGCATCCGCTGAGAAGCATCTCCACAGGAATGGCATAGCCAACGTGCCGCAATCCGATGCCCGAAATCTCTTCGACCATCTTCCGTGGAGTGGCGTACATGTCCACGGTCATGGCAATGATTCCTGCCGGGGAGGTGCCGCGAACATTGACCCTGTAATGGCAACGATCTGAATGCCCACAACATAAGGCTTCGCTGTACGCTGCTCTTCCATGTGCCTATCTTCGACCTGCCGGTTTGATGTGTGTCGTAGAACCTGCTGCGCCCGAGCATGAGAGCCATCTGTGCTGCCAAGTCTCTTCCAGAGATAAAGTACATCCTCGTGGTGGACTGCTGAAAGAAGTCCTGGGCACAATCTGCTGACCGAGCCGGGCCAAGAATGCAGCGACTTCGTAGAAGTGCGACTCTTTGTGAAAGGGCCGAGTTGGCAAGCTGGTGCACGCAAGAAGGTCGGCACCATCTCAAGTCTCGTTGACAACCAAGCATCAAAAAGAGCTTGAAACTGTGCTCGCACTGCCAAGTCCAAAACAAACTGTACAGGGTCCCGAAATCCTGAGTTGCATCTACCTCCACTCCCGAGAGGCTACCTGCAGAATATCTTCTACATTGTCGCCCCCTTGCGGCGTCCTGACCCGCAGGCGCCAGCTCAAAGAAGACCGGGAACAAGCGCTGCGTTAAATGCTGGGAGTCCTGGCGAAACTGGCGAAACACAAATCTTTTTCTTTTCGCTGACAAGCGCGGTGATAACTCGGAGCCTTGTCTTCCATATATCTGAAGAAGTTTCCCAAGGCATGCTCCTGCTGCCGTGGCTTACCTGTAAGCAATTTGCCACTGCTGCCGTCAAGGACAAGCTACCATGTAATGAGACTCAAAAAAGGAAACCCATCAATTTCTGTGCAGCCTGCCTAACATGGAGCTGAGCAGGCCCTCGATGTTCTCCCAAAGCCATCCCCACGCGATCTCGTGGCTCGAATCCCACTCCTCTTGGGCAACGTGCGAGTGACGACAAACTTTCCAAACCGGCAAACCCCATGAAAGGGCCAAAAACAACGTGGGGACAAAAAAACAACAGTGCACCAAAAAACAGAAAAGCACTTCATTCAAACACAACAATGAATCAACAACTAAATAATATCCTGTCTTTGGCTGGGCTGGGCTGGGCGGGGTGGGCTGGGCTGCTGTGCTGGGCCGGGTTGGGCGGCTGGGGCTGTGGGGCTGCGGCTGGGGCTCGGGCTGGGCTAGCGGTAATAGTTTGCTCCGTGTGGCCGTGGGTTTTCAACACCTGAGGACTCGGAGCATTGAGTTTAAGAATATCGGCGATGTCGGGATCTGTTTTTAGGGTTTCGAGTTTGCGGTTTAGGATATTTTGGAGCTCCTTTTTCGGGTTCGGTGGCATTCGGGATTGAGCAGTAGAAGTAGTGTAGCAGTACTAGCCATAGTAGTAGCAGTAGCAGTAGCAGTAGCAGCAGTAGTAGTAGTAGTAGTAGCAGCAGGAGTAGGAGTAGGAG